TCCGGAAAAACATCTTAGTATAAGTTTGAATAACGTACATATACATTTTATGTATTTTTGAATAAAAATTACTTTATTTCATTCGAGATTTCATTTGTGCCTTAATATTTTTTCACAGTTCCTTTTTTTTACAACCTACACTTTACAATCAAACGTTTTATGTGTCTTTTATCCGAAAAATAATACAAAATACATAATAAACACTAAAAAGACGTGAAAATCGATATCATAGTAATCCATTTATCACAGCTATTTAATTATCACGGATAAAACATAGTATATGTGTTAATATATATAAATATATATCGAATAAGTGTTTTTTACGATAAAACAGTTTAGGTCATTAGTATGAACAACGAAAATAGCATTTAATATCACATCACTCTCGTTATTATATCTATGTACTTAACATCTTAGAGTATGCAATTTAGTTGTTATATAGTGTTACCTTACATTAGTATCGAAAATAAAGTCTAAGCCTTTCAACATGTTATTTAAATATTTTATTTATAATTTTATCCACGTTCACTGATGAATATAATTGCACGCAAAGCTTATAAATTATTAGAAGGATTTCAAATAAATTTAAGTTTTTCAATTTACTTAAATCCCTTTACTGTGCTCTCGTCAAACCGATTCTTGTGTATGGTTCAGTGGCTTAGGATCTACAATGTGATGATTTGAGTTGTCAACTTGGAGGCGTCCAAAGTAAATTCTTCAGTTACAATTTGAAAATTTCCTGCCTATCTTACCACTTTCCCCCGTCTTAGCTAAACCCAATCTCTCCACTATGTTTGACCATCGATACTCATATAACTTATCTTTCCTTAGAAAATCCATCTCCTCTGATATTGATGCTCTTTCTCTTGTAAATTTTTAAGTACTCCCATGTTTTATTCGTAATAAAATTTCTTTTCTTATTTCTCTCTCCTCAACTAATTATATGACCAATGTATCAATCAATCGTTTAATGAAACTGGCAAATGAGGACCCCTCTTTTCTTATTATATAAATCCATTAGCATTTTACACTTGTTATATGTGTACCTATACTTTTTGTTTACTAATTGTTTTATTGTTATAATGTTTTGATATTATTTTATGTTATATGTACCCTGATTACTTGGACTTAAGCTCATTTTGTATAAAATAAATACAATCTTATCAAGCTTTATAAAACAATACACAATAGATAAACTACTTTGATAGGTAATACATTTTATCCAAAACAGTTGTATAATTGTATTGTACCATTATTATATTCTATATCTTTATGATTTTATTTAATTTTGTCAATTATCAGTCAAATATCTAATTTTTTATAATTTAGTATAAGTAAATAATACAATATTTGCAATGTATTGATGTACTTATATGTAATGAAGAAGTGAATAATATGATTAAATATATATATATTAATTATATATATATTTATATGATTCATAAATATAATTTATTTTAACATTTATTTTTAAATCAAAATTTGATGATAAGTTTTGAAGATGTCTAATATTTAAAGAAAAAAATATTATTAATATAATAATACTTCATAATTATCCAACTGTAATTTTAAATTAAAATTGATCATTCTGAATATTTATTTAATAATGTAGTTATTATTCAATTTTTCGATATTATAATCATAAATAGGAACTTATATAGGTACGTATAAAAAACTACAATATATCTTTAATTAAGAACTAATAAATATTGAAATAAAATATGTGCTGAAAATGGCCTATCAAATATAAAAAAGACAACGAATTGGAAAAAAAAATAAAATATAAATTAAATAAATATCTTAAATTTAATTGATTATTAAAGTAGTATTATTTAAAATAATAAATGTTTCTGAAAAACAAATATAGGTAAATTTGTTATTTGTTAGGTAGGTAACTTTTTTTTACGTAAATTTCCTTATTAAAAAACGGTTTATGAAAAATATAAAATCAATCTGATTTAAACACAAATAACAAAAACATATAACATAAATTTTAAAAATAAAAAATAAAAATATAAAATATAAACCGTTGATCTATAAAACAATCTTTGTTTACTTACTCTCCTATTTTTTTGTCGTATATTCCATAATAGTATTGGGAAATATTATACAACTCGTGCCTCAATTATGAAACCAATTAATAATACATATCATATTTTAATTTAGTAAAAATAACTATAAAAGTAATTTTAAAATTTTTAAAAATTTTTAAATTAATTTATAGATGATAGGTTTATAATATATAATTAATATTTGTTGTCATTGAATACATTTAACACTTATATTTTAATGATTTATAAAATAACACCTGTGTAATCATAACATTATTTTTTATAATATTCTTTCAACGCATACCTAACACGTCCTACGCACTTGCATTACCGACAAAACAATAGTTATGGTGTATTACGAATAATATGTAGGTATTATAATTATGACTAGCAAATTATCTATAGATACGCAAGGTGAAATCCTCTGAATTTTTATCATATTTAAAATAGAATTTCATGTTTATTTTAAAAAAAATTCAAAGTTTAGATAACAAAATTATAAAGAATCTTCACATTTTTTATTTTTTTCTAAAATTTATAGGTATATATTTTTTGGAAAAATTAAAAAGTAACTACATTTTAAAATTGTAATAAAGAAAAGTTAGTAAACCTATATCTGTGATCAAGGTAATGAATTTCTTATGTCAATATATAATTTTAGTAATAAATATTACACTTATTTAATGTAAGATTTTTCAATAGTTTTTCATATCCCTATCCAAGCGGACAACATTAATTACTGCTTGCTATAAACGAATAGCGATATGCACATCTAAACTAATACCATAAACTTATTAAAACATCAATACTGCTATTGGTTAGGTATGCATCCTTTATTTTATCAATACACTAATTATATTTAGCATGAATTAAGTATAAAGATATAAAAAATATTCATATTAAATAATGTTAATTTTTTCAGTTGGCGGACTGAAGTAATCAATGAAGAATATATTATTCTTAATATAATTAAATAAGTTAACAAAAAAATTCAATGTTTGTTTTATTTTTTAGTTATTATCATCACATTATTAGTTTGTTCTATTTTATGAATATTTAGCGAGTATTTTTGTTATAAAATATGTTAACAACTTGTCAACTTATTAAATATATACATATAATGATGAATAATATTTATACAGTATTTGTTGATCTATAAATAATTTAAAAAAATATTTTACATTACCTAATTTTAACTTTATACTTGTACATTATTATTAAAATAATAATTATGGTAAAATTATTCCTTACAAAGGACAACTATATTGTACTGATATCCTTTCACTTATCAGTAAATAATACATTAACCAACATAAATAGATAGTAGGTACACATAAAATGTTATTCTGATATCGATAATAAAAAATTTCAGTTGTATTTAAATAATTTATCAATTTAAATTGTTAAAATGTACTGAAGTGACTCAATACTAGAATTTCAATTTTTAATTTTATCTACCTAATTTAATATACACTTGTGGAACATTAGTAAGGGCAATCGTTGTTTTATGTAAATTTACCGTGGTCATAGTTGTTGCCTGTTAGTCATTATTTTGGCTAATGTTTTTTATTGTAGATTAAATAACTATATTACTTGTAGTACGTAAACAACCATTAAATTTAGTAGTGGACAATTAATAAAATAAAACTTTGTCGTAGTTCTAACTAATATTTTGAAATAACTTGTTTAAACTATAGATCAAAAAGAATAATAATAATGGTTTCAATATTTATGGATCATCCATTTATATTTAAAAGTGTTATAACTAAAATAATAGGTTATCTAACCTATTAATAGTAATAATTTAACAAAAAATAAACATGGAATTACCCTCAAAAAGAAAAAAAAATTAAACAAAGTAAATTATTGTTCATTGAAGAAATTTCTTATAAATTGAGTGCAGTTTAAAATCATAGCTATTATATATTTATAATTATTTTATGTTCATGAATTTAATATCAAGTTAAAATAAGTTATATTTAAAATTATTTCACTTATGTGCGGAAATTTTAAATCAAAAATACATTTTTAAAACATTCCATTATACATTTTTTTTCTTTATACTTCAAATAGATTTAAACCTCGTAAATTATTTATTTTCTTTAGCCCATTTTATTTCTTTTTCCTTACAATTAAATCTTTTCGTTTTGGTTTTATTACTGTAAAACAACTTGTATTAAAATTCAAAACTAATACTAATTTTATGATATTATTGTTATAGTTTATAATTGTACTATTTAAAAAAAAAAAAACAATTATCACCTTGAAATAAGATGTCTTAAAAAAGTAATATCATCTCAAATCTTAGCATTAGAATTTAGTTTTTGAAAATAGTCACAGCAATTAGTTAAAAAGTATTGTGTTTATACAAAATCCTGTCATATGTCTGAAATAATTATCGATTTATAATTAATTTAATAGTCACTTAAAAAAGTATATTATTTACAAATAACAAAAATTCTACTCGTTATATAATAATTAATTTATTGATAAATCTGTACACCTTATTCATACATTCATAAACACAATAGAGATATCTAATATTTTTCTTGGAATTTCGGCTGTACATCAATGATAACGTCAATCAGTTTTTAAACAAATCAAAAAAAACGCCAATAGGTACACGAATAGTATTATTACATAACTTAACTATACCTAACCTAACCAAAAGAATATGGCAAATTTAATGGGCTTTAACTTAGTGAATTGTACATTTAATTAACAGAAAAACTATGTTAAATCTAAAATTTACTTTATGCATTTATGTAGTAAAATAGTATATCCACGTAGATATATATATATATAATGTAATAACGCTACAGTACAATGTATACTTATGCGCTGTAATGCTATTAACCAAAATTGTTGCCTTTATAGTTTCAAAAGAACTTATCACTCCTCCTATACATTAACCCTAACATAAAATAAGATCACGTATAATATACGAACCTGAAACAATTCGCAGTCATCAGGATCGTCATAGAATTCGTGCAAGTAACTCTTGACGCCAAAACCCGTAAGTCGTCTGCCAGTCCGGGCATAGTAAGGTAACTGCTGGACTTCGTCGCTCTCGTTATCCGATCGCTGTTGCTGATGATTTTTTTTCTTAGACCGCTCGACCAACGGTGAAGGAGATGACGATGAGGATGTCGATGAAGACGAATTCGTGACGAAACTCACACGGTTCGTATTGGCCGATTTCTTGTTGTTGTGCACCAGTATCCCCTTGGCTGCGGCGGTGGTGGGTACACGACCCGTTTTAGCGCCGGGCACAGGATTTGGGTAATCACTGTAGCCCGATGACGCCGCCACGGAATCGCCATCGTTATCGGACGTCATGTGAACGGTCAACACTGGTGGGCCACTGAAACACGTCCGCGTAGATATATCGTCAGAAGTCCGAATTCATAATTAATACACGTTTTAATATATTGTGCATGTGTAATATATATTACGCTACTAAAAAACTGAAGTAATGGTGGAACATAGCGTCCCAAAGTTTATGAAAAGCTCTTCAAAAAATCGATAACTGATTTCAACAACAATCGGTTGACACAGATGTGACTAAATTATATTCGGAGCGGATGGATGAATGTATTTATTTAACAATGATATTTCCTTTTTTTTTGTGTATGTGTACACGCCGTACACGGTAAGTAGTTGATAAAATGCTTTGATTTTTAACTTTGAGGATAATTTTGGATACAAATTAGGTATAGTTTATACTTTACAAGGGTCAAAATAAAATTTTTTTTATATTTTTCAAAATAATTAGATAAATTAAAAAAAAAAATTTAGGTAAAACGGACAATGTAATCTATTTTATGATTTGAAATTCTTTATGATTTGAAATTCATAAAAGCTTTTATTTTGATATCAAATTTTTAAAATTTAATATAAGATTCCTCATATATAATTGATACTGAAAGTATAAAATATAATAAATACATAATTCATTATTTAAACGATAAATTACGATAATAATTATTTTGTTATAATTTAAAAACATCACCAGTGGTAACTCAAAACTTATACGTATAATATATTATTATGAATTTTATTACACGCAATAATATTTTTAATTGATTTTAAGATATTAGCTATTTATACTGTGGACTTAAATTTACAATTGTACAGTATTTACAAAAATATTTTATTACATTTTGAGTTGTATATATTGATATAATATAATATGAATAAATATTATTACAATAATTAAATACTAACAATATAATAGATGCAATAATACAAAAAGTAAAATAAATGACTTAAATAGCATTAAAAAATATACATTGTGAAATATATTTAATAGTATAGATGTTATATACAATAGTATAACACTGAGTTAAAATTTAACATACCCCTAAAAGTGATCCACTCGACACATAATGTACCTACAGCAAAGCAGTATCCACTTGTTGAAATTGTACCGTTATAGGTATATACTCTAGTATTCACCATATAATATATATATACACGTATATACATATAATATAAGTGAAATTAATAACTATGTACAAATACACAATGTCTTTATACGTAATCAAATCATAAACAATTCTAACGACAACCCACCTTTTACGTTTAGTTACGTTTATGTGTATCATATGTCGTAGTGGTGGGTAGTATAATTAGGTGAAATTAATATTATGTGTGGCAATACGTATAAGTTTTCTTTGGAAATCTAATGAAAACAACAATTTTTAAAATTATTATCCTTATAATGCATTAGTTGATTAATTATTGGATTATTTATAAACATTTATTTTACAATATAAGTAAAGTTTTAATCCGAATAATACATTTTGTGGAATTTATTTGAATTCCGCAAACACTATGGTGCAAAGAATAACAATAATATATTTCACTACAAATCGGGTATGCACTAAGGTTTAAGACTAAACTTTCAATACATTATTATTTTTTTTAAGTTCATAAAAATAAATCATAGTTTTTATAACTTAATTAATATAAAAACTAAAAACTGTTATAAATCCTTCATGAAATTTTCGTTCTAAATAATTGTATACTAATAGTCATAACTGCCGATATAATTTTTTGACCAATAAAAAAATTAAAAATCAAATTTATAATTTTATACAAAATAAATATATTTTGATAAAAATAATAATAATTGTTTGGAATATTGTTTTTTTTTAATATATACATAGGTAGTGAATTATGGAGAATTTAAATTGAACTTAGGTACCTAATTACCACGGATATTAGTATATAATGTATTTATCTTCATTTCTTCTATAAATGATAATTTATGCATTTCAAAGCGATTTTTTTTAACTATCATAATTACAGTAATTAGCATCTACCATTGATTTTTTTTTTTTATTATATACGCTTAAAATATATATATTAAACCGTTTTAGAATTTTTTTCCTTTTATATTTCCTTTTTGATAAATTGTATTTATTGATAAATTCGTACTCATAATCAAAAATCGAATTAAATGCAGTGTGCTTTTTTTAATAAGTACTTAGGAACGTATTTGAAAATACGTCGGATTCATGTAATACCAATTCACAAGTAATTGTAAGTCACAGGTGACCTACATTTGACTATAGCTGTTGTATTAAAGCCGTTGAAAATAAATCATCACACATTTACACATTTGGAAACCTTTGGGAGAACTTAAAACAATATTATATACTCGAAATCATCCATACGTATACTGCGCGTTTATTACCGGAATACTTTTAAACAAGGTACGCCATTTTCACGTTATTATACACTATTGTCTGTTGGAAAATATTCGTTTATTGTTGCAGGAAGAAACGAGATGATCATTATCTTCTCAAGCACAAAGTAAACAAATACGTATACACCACATATTAAAACCACTCTATTTTTTAGCTAGAGGGGACAAAACAGTGAGACGAAACAAGCATGTTGTACAAACCTATAGTAGTATTATACCGAATCATAATATTAGTATCGGACTAACTCCATAATACTCGGGCTAGGTAGATACGCACCATGTCAGCAACAGTTATTTAATTAATTATTATATCATACTAAAACATGTCTTTTGCTTCGAGCTTGTTTCCGACGGTCGTTTTAGTCGTATTTGCGTATGATGTTATTTACCGATATTACACAATATCGCAGATGTACACACCTGCTGTTACCGTCACCACCGCACGTACTGTCGTCGCCGTCGGACCGTCGACCCGCTGTTGATGCGGATGCCTCCGCCCGCACCACCGCCGAGATTCCATCTGCTGTACGCGATCCGACCGCACTCGGGTCTCCCGATGTCCAGGAACTACAAATCAGGGAATGGGAAAAAAAAAAATCAGTTGTAAAAGTCATATAAACATTAGCGTTATATTTAAAACAGTAGATAAATGTGTCGCGTCGTTTACTTCCTCGGCTAATGCTCCAACATGCGATAGCTAAGCGGAGACTAAATGGTAAACATTACGTGGTCCTATTATACGTGGGCAGATAATGCACAAGATTATAAATTAATATGCACCCATTGATAAATCGACCCCATAGCAGTGTTGCGACGGATCTAGTTCACCGATATTTCGTTGTAATGGGTCTGGGGGCGTAAGTGATTTTTACTGTACCCACTTAAATGAAATGCTATAGGTACATACTACCTGCGTAGTGGATCCACAAACTGTAGGTGAATATAATATAATTAAACGTCCTGACTGTTTACAGCAGTGTCGTGTGGTGAATATCCTACATAATAATGATATGATAATACGTCTTATTTAAAAAAAAAACGTAGACTTTATTCGGTTTCGTGTGGATATTACGCGACAGCTCGGTTTAATAACAACAATAATAATAATATTTACTATATAATGCGTGCGTACAATATACTCGTAATAACGCGCTGCGATAAACTATAGATATTATACATGTATAGTATAATATAATACACATTTCATAATACAACCGCAACGGAATTCAGAAAGTAATAAAATTTAGAGATGTACTTCTTGAGCTGATGCAGTTATTATTTTTATAGTATCTCAAATTCTCAAACGACTCAAACAATGCTCGACATATATGACGTATAATATTAAAAATAGTTGATAAGATAGTTTATATGTATAGTATGATGGTCGAGGTATGAAGAAAGTTATTAATGTAATGGATTCAATCGTACGACATTTTTGAAAGGTAAAAAGTTGTATAATATATACATTATACATATATATATACATATATATATATATATATACATTATAGCATACAAAATAATATGAATTAGAATTACTAACGTGTAAAATGTATGCATACGCTTGACATCAAATTAATATTGATGAATTACCGGCACTTAACTTGAATCGTACGGATGTTAATTAATCTATAAGGAATTTGCGTGTTGACTGGTGGCGTTTCATTTATCTTAATTAAAAATTTAAATAAACTATACGACCATAGAAAATAATATTTGTAATTTGGATTATATTTTTAGCATTTCTTTACTAATCGATAATCCCCATTGCTTATCAATTTTGTCATATGCTTATTAGTTATTATTGATAATATCACATTATATAAATGACCACGTTATTTGTATGTTACAACTTACAATTAATTTAACTACATATTTATATTTCAAAAATATTTATATACGAGTATTTTGTAAATATATATAGTTTGAAAATTATAATTTCACTTTTCTATTAAATTAATAATGGTTTAATTTTATGATAAATATTAAATTTGCTTTACCATATGAATACATTTTTTTTTAACGTTAATAATTTATGTGTAGACAAAGCAAATCGTTATTTACATAAGAAAATTAAAATTAGTTTTAAAAATCAATTTAAATTGATTAAACTTAATTTTACTAAAAGCCAATCATTTACTTAACTTTATAATTATTCTTATAATAAAACCTAATCAAACTTTTAAAGTAAAAAACAATAACTAAATATACCTCATCTCAGTTTATCATTATAATATTCTAGAAAATTTGTATATCTAAATATATAAGACTTAATATCATCTTTAATAAAGTTGAAACATGAATTTGTAAGTCATACGTGATATGATGTACTTATCGGATTTTTATAAAAGTTTATTTATAATGAATAACAGAGGGAATTTACATATTGTATTTTTATAATAACTGTGCTACCTATTGCAAAGAGTTTTTTATTATATTTTTAATTTAAAATGAATTAGTTGTAAATGCTTAAATAATTCATGTGTTTAGGTTTATATAACTCAATTTAAAATAAAAGTATGAAAAATAATAAATAATTTTGCTCAAGTATTAACTGTAGTTAGATTTTAATATGTAGACTTCTAATTTTTGATGTTATAAGTATGTAAGACAGATATAACACACCATACGAATAAAATATGCAAGTGAAATTTTCTTAATCCTATTAATCGATTAAGTTAATGACAAAGATATATTTTATTTAAAGAATATTAAATTCAATGTTATTAATAGGTTTTTTAAATTTTTTTTAACTTTTGAACCTTTTAAATATAATTTTTCTAGATTATTAACAGTATTTGAAACTTTTATTTAAAATTTCGAAAGATTCTACTAGGTTTTATTAGCGTAAAAAAAAAAGTTATTCGATAGAATACAGATTTAAATTCATGAAAATTACTTAAATGTAAATTCTTAGTTTAAGAAGTTTTCTTGATAATTTTCATGAAATTTAGTTTTTAAGAATCAAATTGATCAAAATATTACATATATTTTGTTATTTTTTCATTATTAGTTAATTGGTAACTATTCCAATATTTCTATGATACGTACGTATGACTCGGTTTAAAAATATAATTTTCAGAAGTTACTGGTACAGTCCTGAACACATTTATAATTTGTCAGTTTAAGTCCTCAGAAAATGGTCTATAAGATAGTAATGTACTAATGTAATAAACTCTATCTGATAAATGCCTAGGCCCTTGGGGTATACACCATCAGACCATCCAGAAATGATATGAGAATCGTGACAACTAATCCCTCTGGGATGACCTTTTACCTTATAGACAAATTTCCGTGCTATAATAAATCCGTTAAAGTTCAAAATACGAATTCTCATGATTCGCTGTAATTTATAATTTTCAATCAATTAAATATAAGTATTATATAATTGTAAAGTATGAATTTTTAAATTTCAATCACATTACAAAATTGAAATATATCATTTAATTTTTAGGTATAATTTTCATTAATTAATGTTTAAAATTTTATAAAAGAAAGTCTTTGAAAAAAATTAGGTACAAGTATAATTATCTAAACGTGTAATATAGCTGTAAAAGTTTACTAAACAGTATTTGGTCCTTATTTCAATAGGTTGTTATTTATAACCATAGAGAACTAGATACTGGGTATTTTACCTACTAGTAAAGTGAACTGTTGATAATGCAAATTCAAATTCATGAACAAATTGAACCTTATTATTTATTTATTTAAAATATTCATATTTTATATAGTTACTAATTAATATAATTACAAATTGAATCTACCTATAGTCATTTAGTATTCCATATTTAAAAGTTAAACATCGTAAACTCGTACTAATGTAATATGTTAGTATAAGTATACCAAACTATAATGTAGACGAATTAAAAGTCATAAGCTAAAGTAAATACATAAATAACTATGAAAACACTAAAATCAATAAATTATTACAATATTAAAGTACAAAAATAGTTCGACATTATTTAAATTATTTTAATAGATATTAAACATCATCTTTGAATAAGAAACTATAAGTACCTATGTATAGAATAAATAAAAGCGTAATTTATATTCAAAGTACCAAGTTCCCTGAATTAGTGTTGCTTGTATACTACCTAACAGATTTCAAGGATCAAATAAAATTGCAACACAGTTTAGTTTGTTATTTTTTTCTAATTATAAAATTAAGTATTGCAGTTTAAAAAAAAAATGTATTTTAAAATAGTTTGTATAAATAACAAATTAATACACATTTTGTATAATTTAAAGTTAAGTTATATATCCTAACCGTTGTTAAGACATATCATAATGTCATACTATTCCTCCATTTCTTAGTTAATTTTAAGGTAGGTATTAATAAAAATCAAATTATTTAGCAGGTATCACATTCAATATTCTGGTGATATAAATTAAATCAAAACTTAATTTTTTTAATTTTTCATAGTTTAATCCACTATCTGTTACAAACAAAATAATAAATGGAAATGATGACCGATTATACAGCTTGAATGATGGTTTTAAGAAGCCTTCCAGAGAAGGCATAATTACGTAATTTAATAAATAATACACTAATATATTAAAAAAATGCATTCATTTCAAACTTAAATAAGACAACAAATGTTTTCCTAATTTGATATTTAATTAATCTTTGAACGTATGTTACCTTAATACGTAATAATAAACAAAGAAAATAAGTAAATATACTTAAAAAAAAAAAATCTAAAACTGATAAAATTTGCATATTATAGCCATTCAATAAAAACGGAATTCATAAAACCAGGAAGCATCTAAATGTTCAATAATTAAACATTTTAAAAAGATGAAAACAAATGGTGAATGAATAAAGGCGAGAATACAGCTATAGATATCCTTTACCATTGCACAATGTATATAATCCATATATACTCGTATATATATATGTATGCGTATAAATATAAAATAATAAAATATTATGAATTATTAATAGTGCACTTTTACGGTTTATACTGTTTACAGCATTAGTTTTTGAATACAATGAGATTTACTTAACAACAATAATATATATACGTGCCTATATGTATGTGTTATATTTTATAAGACTAGCAGATAGAAAATGTGATAGGGATAAATGGATTACCTCATCAGTTTGAATAAAACATTTCGTTCAATAAGTTTCTATACAAAAAGTTTTTCTGTGATACGTTGTTGTCAAAAAAAAAAAAAAAAATACAAGCTTTTTTGGAAATCTAACAGTATAATATATATTAAATAATATTAAATCTATTAATTAATTAAAATAACATAAATATTTAATAAATTAAAAGATTTTTAATCTTCAAAATATACAACTAATTTAATTTGAATATCCCAAAGCAGGAGTTGCAATAATATAAAAACAAACGCGTGGATATATTATAGGTGTTTATGAACTCTATTTTTACGAATTTAATTTAATATTATGCATTTATAATGAAATGGATCCATAAATATTAAAAAAAAAAAATTGTGATGAAAATTATCACATGAATGGTTTTTTTCTTATACTAGACAGTACAATAAGGATTGTTTGAAATTATTATACAAATTCCATGATAATATATTATATTAAT